CTCCATCTGCTGGTGTCTCCCCGAGAGCTCAGCCCAAACTAACACTGGAAGGACCTTGCCGACACAATAAATATCAGAGCAGCAGCACAGCCGTGTCAATTGCCCTCTGACATTCTATATAGAATGAACCACTTCTCACAAGAGTGGACTTACAATTAAACACCTGAAATGATTTAAAACGCAAGATACTAGATACTAAGTTTGGTCGTTATTTCCTAATAAGTCACAAGTGGATTTATCCCATTATGTACACAGTTATTCTCATGACAGCTATTAATAATTTTTGAAATTAATCTTCAAAGCCAGGCATTCCTGCTTCTCCCTGCTGACCTGGCATCTTCCTGAGATTCATTTCTCATACAGGTTGTGAGATGGCAATCACTGCCCACAGAAACCACTCCTTGACTAATGCATCCTCTGTGTCACACTTAAAAGATTTATTTTATATTTAATTATGTGCACCTGTGTGTGGGTGGGTGTATGCAACATGCGCCCACCCACACACACATCCCAGAGACTAGAGGTGTCCGATCCTATGGGAGATCAAGTTACTGGCAGTTGTCAGCCACCTGACATGGATGCGAGGAACCTAACCCAGGTGCTCTGCAAGAGCAGTAGTACATGCTCTTAACTCCCAAGCCTTTCTCCAGTACTACCACCCTACTCCAGTCCCTTGTATATCACAGAAGGGGACACATGCATTCAGTTAGCCAAAGCGTCTGGGTTCAGGGACCCACTCCTTCCTTTTGCCATTCACCACCATTGCTCTTCACGGGAGCATGCTGGGACATGTTTGTCTCAAAGGCTGACCTCTAATGTGTATTTCTTATGTGATAAGCTCTGTAGTAAGCCCATCACACAAGTTTTCTCATTTATGTCATAATGACCCTATGGACTCATTTCACAGATACTGAATCTCTGTCTAAATCTCAGAATAAAAAGACAAGTCACCAAGAGGAGTCAAGGTTTGTACCCAGGAACTCCGGCTTCAGAAAGCACTCCCTGACCTGCTATGACAGCATCCCTGCCTCCACCCCTTCTGTTTTCTGTTATCTTGTGATCTCAGGACCTCAACTGATTGGCACACCGAATGAGAATTTAACCTAAGGGTGGGGCAGCTTCCCAAAGTCTGAAAGGCCTGGCTTTTACAAAAAAAAATGAGCTGAACCTGTTTGCATCTCAGTTTTTGACATCTGAAGAACAAGGAATCTCCCAGGTAGCAATGGGAACTATGATTTAAAGTTTAAATGCTAGGTAAGGGCTGTATCAACTGGCTAAACGAGATACAAATAAAGCCGGGCCACAGAAATCTGAGCAGTCAGTGTAGTCCGTTACAGGAGACAGGGAAGAAGTTGATGGGGTGGGAGGCTAACCACATGAGGGCCATTAGCACAGCACTAGTATTGATGCAGGGGCGCTGAAGCTGAGGGTCTCTCCTGATAGTGCAGGCTGTGCCAGGCCAAACATCGCCTCCTGTGCTTGGGTCTCCATGTGTGCCTTGCAGAATTTCGAAGATGAATCCCAAAGATGCCCTTCCCTGATCCCTGTAGGAGAAACTTCAAAGATGTGATTAAGTTACAAATTAATTGACCTGGGATTAGGGACAGCACATTGGTTTAGTTGGGTGAGTATTTAGAGCGTCCGAGATCACATTGAGTTGCCCATGTACCATCACACAAGCACCAGTATGAACAGAGAGCAGAGGCAGGAGTCCGAGAGATTCTCAGCATGAGAAGGTGCACTGTTGGCTCCCGAAGATGGAGGGGCCGTGTGTAAATGCAAAAGGGACATGACTCCTGCCAATCACCAGAGTTCGAAGGAGGGCCCAGAGCCCCATCTTTGTAATTTCCCTGATCTGAGACCCACAGTTGAGAAATTGGTTGACCCCAATATGAGAAAATAATATGAGTTAGTAAGTGTTCTAGGCTTTTCAGGAGGAATGGAGAACCTGAGAACTATAGCCAAAAATTGAAGCTAGCATCAACCTCACATAGTCTTGCAAACATCAGACTAAGAATTTACACAACCTACATAATATAGTCTACTACATAGGATAAACAGAAAATTTATGAGGCTATTGCCCAATCTATGAGACAAGTTTCATGATACTTAATTTTAAAAGAATACACTCAAGTATAATGACAAGAGTACAGAGTGATACTTAGACCAGTAAGATCATCAAGTTTATGCATCATATGTAATTATATGTGCTGTGCTTGTATGTGATCCACAGAACCATGGATCTGTCTACACTGGCATCACTTCAAACATAGCCCAACAGGACTCTTTCAATTCCAACCTGATCAGATGGGATGCTTTGGGATGTACTCTCTAGTCTTAAAACTGAAATATCTGTCCAGGACATGTGAATATATATCTTTAATTTCTTAATTACATGTATTAATTTGAATGTGTGTGTGCATGTGCATGAGTTCAAAACAGTCAGAGAACAACTCCTGGGAGTTGGTTCTTTCCTTCTGCACTGAGATTCTTGGGGATAGAGCTGAGGTCATCAGGGTTGATGACAAGCATCCCTACCTACTGAGCCACCTTGGAGCCCACATGAATAGATACTGATGAAAAGTTTTCCTCTAAGAATGGGAAGACCTTGCCAGGCATTGGTGGTACAGCACTCAGGAGGCAGAGGCAGGCGGATCTCTGTGAGTTCGAGGCCAGCCTGGTCTACAGAGTAAGTTCCAGGAGAGGCTCCAAAGCAATACAGAAAAGTCCTGTCTCGAAAAAAAAATTAAAAAAAGAATGGGAAGACCTAGTGTCTGTGTTTGCTATAAACATCATTCTCCTATCTTTCCAAGATTGTAATTATTTACATTTATTATTTACTTTCCAAAAATTTATCTATTATTTACGTGGGACAGGCCATGTGCATTCCATGGTACACAAGAGGATAACTTACAAAAGTCCGTTTTCTCCTTCCATCAGGTGGGTCTCAAGGGTAGAATACATATTGTCAGACTTGACAGCTTCACTTTCACCTGACAAGCCACTTCCAGCCTCATTCTCCTACCCTACTGGAGCCATATTCAGTATATCATGTAGTTATATCCACTACGTTGTTCAGACATCTTTGAGGATTGGCAGCCAATAATGATGGAAATATGGGAGTGATGTAAATTGTGGCCAATAGAGCTAAAACAAACATTACAAGAGCATTATTACTTCTTTGTCAAGTCTATCATAAATAAAATTCTATGAAAAAATGCTATGAGAGAGAGAAAAAATAACACTGTATTCCTTTGGAATTTTCAAAACGTCAGTCATGACCTCATTGTGATCACTCATTTGAAAACTTAGTTATCCATCCAGAGAACACATAGAGTCGCCTGTCAATGAGAAAAGGTCCTGACCCATCTCATCGATGACATGAAAGAATTAGTGGCGACAACAGAACAGAGATGGAGGTAGGGATGTAGGGAGTGGTGCTTTGGATGACAGATTTCCCCCACAGTCTCGGACAATTGATAATCGGTCCCCAGTTGATGATGGCACTGTTTGAGGAAGTTTAGGCAGCACAGCCTTGATGGAGGAAATATGTCACTAGGAGCAGGCTTTGAGATTAAAGCCTGCCTTGACTTCCAGTTTGCTCTCTCTTCTTCATGTTATGGCTAAAATGTGAGCTCTTGGCTTCCTGTTCCTGCCACCATGCCTGCTGCTGGCTGCTACAGTTTCCCACCATAATGCACTCTTATCCCTCTGGAACAGTAACCCAAAGTAAACCCTTCCTTGTGGAAATTGCTTTGTGGTGTTTTATCACAGCAATTATACAAATGAGAGAGGGGGAGAGAGGGGGTGGCAGAGACAGAGACAGACAGACAGAGACAGAGGCTTAGGGCGAAGGTATGTGTTGCATTATTTAATCACTTAGGTTATAAGGAAAGGCAAAATATATGATGTTCTACATACAAGAGAAGGACAGTCAGTCCTTATCATTGGCAATCTCCCCATCTCTGACCCTGGTTATTTTGGAACAGGGTAGAATAGAAGGCAACAAAGCAAAGCATTCCCTAGTAAAACTAGACTCTGTATGAGCCCTGGTGCTGTTTTCCAACTGTTCTAATTATATTATTGATACAGCCGAACATTTCCACCTGTTTCTAGGAGACGCACTCTTCACCTTTCAGACACACCAAGCATATTGCCCTATATCCACTAAGAAAGGCCTCAGAAGGTGCACTCTCACCCTGAACTCTTGGGGAAGGGTCTAGGCCCTGCCCTATATGAAATGACAGACTATGGACACCCCCATGGAGGGCCTCACCCTCCCTGGGGGAAGGAGGGGATAACGGGGGGGGGGGGGAATGGGGGGATGGGGGAAGGGCACGGGAGGAGGGGAGGGAAAAGGAGAGGGACCTGGAACTGACTTGTGAAGCAACCTTGTTTCTTATCTAAATTTAAAAAAAAGAATAAAAAAAATCATTATTGATTAAAAAAAAAAAAAAGAAAGGCCTCAGAAAACAGACTGGCAAAATGTTCAAAGCCAAGAGAATCCAGACCCACTGTCCCCCCCATTACTTAGAACACAGCGCCATGAAAAGCAGCTGAAAGGAAGAAATGAGGAAGTCCTGGGGTTCTGGTGAGGGGAACCAGGATTGTCCTACAGGGACACGATAGACAGCATCTGCTATTAAAAACCGCTAGACCAACTAGACCTGACGCCCTTTATCTCTGTCACACAGGCTAAAAATGGGTACTTCTGCCTGGACAGTGGTCGTGGCTCCTCCATTCACTAGCTTATTGTCTTTGGAGGGATGTTGAAACTGTCAGTCATCTTATCAGTTATAAAAGAATAAACATAATTGTATGGGCCTCACAGTACTGTTCAGAGGATTAAGCTTGCTCAACTCCTGGCATCATTAAAATACTAGACTTTTTTTAACCTTAATTCAAAAATATCTAACATTTGTGGCTGACTAAATGGCTCAATGGATAAAAGACCTTACCTCCAAACTTACTGACTTGAGTTTGATCCTATAATGCCACAAGGTAGAAGGAGAAAACAGACTCCCGCAAGTTGCTCTCTGACCTCCGCACACATCACTGTGTGATGCACAGAGAGAGAAAAAGTAAAATAAATATTAAAATGTAATTAATAAAATAATTTTTAAGAGATGCTTGATTTTAACCTCAAATATTATTGCAGTTAAATTGTAGCTTTAAATGAGAGATCTCATACCCTTCAGCGTGGAGAAGTGTGAATGTGAGTCTGTGTGTGTGTATATGTGTAAGAGAGAAAGAATGTGTGAATATGTGTGTGAATATGTATGTGAATGTGTATGTGTCAATGTGTGTGTGTCAAGGTGTGTGTCGATGAGTGTGTCAATGTGTGTTATGTGCATGTATGTATGTAAATGTGTGTTTATGTGTGTATGTGTGTGTGCATTTATGTATGTGAATGTGGGTGTGTTTGTGTATCATATAATATTTATGTTATACACAAATAAGCCTCCTCATCACACACCCAAATTCTTCACAAAGCCATTCAGCAAGGAATCTTGATTTCTCTGAAAGTCAGGAGTATCCAACTGCTCTCACATCACTGGTCTGTGCATGTGGAAAATTGAGAGGTGCACTTGGGACACTGCTGACACAGTGAATGTGCGCATGTGGGTGTTTCCCATTAAAGAGCCAATTGTCCTAAAGATATCTCCTCCAGTGCTCTCCGGGATCACTATTGTTTTACTTATATTTGACTTACAATCCACCTGAAATTGATTTTTGTTGTGTTATGCTGACAGTTATTAAAATGAGACCAGAGTGGATGTATAAGATCAGTTCTTTGTAGAAGTCTCTCAGCCCACAGAAAATATTCATGACCCTTTCCCAAACAACTGAGTTGCCAAGCCTGCCTGGCTGCCTTCCTCCCTCCCTCCCTCCCTTCCTTCCTTCCCCCTCCCTCCTTCCTCCCTCCTTTCTCCCTGCCTGCCTCCCTCTCTTCCTGCTTGCTGCTTCCTCTCCCTCCCTTCCTCCTTTTCTCCTTCTTCCTTTGTCAAATTATCTTTCCCACTCTTTGAGCTCATTTCCTAAAGAAGCATAAATACACAGGAAACAAAATAGGGTGTTTGCTCCCCCAAAGCACCCAGTCTTCATTAAAAATGGTCGAGGCACGGATGGATGCCTCAAGGTGGGACAAGCCACAGCATTTCTCAGCCCCTGCCTTCATCTCCCCTATGTGCTTGTCAGGTTTGAGAACAGGAAGAGGAGGAGGCAGCAGAGATATCGAGAGAGCCTTACAGGAGCTTGGCTCTGGTTCTAGTTGCTTGCTCTCTGGTGCCTTCCCTCAGGCCCCCAAAAGTAGATCACCCTCCGTACACCCAGTGGGCATGCAGAGCAGAGAGGGAAGGAAAGGGCCAGAGCTGGGGTCCCAACCCTTGAGGGTCTACCTGCTCCCTTAGGGAAATGATTGTGAGCCCCTCCAGGACAGAGATGCTGGTGCCTAGCAGGACTGTCACTGGTATTCAGACTGACTTCCAGAGGTGTGCTCTTGATCGTGCCTGCAGATAAAAACAGTGAAAAATCCCAAATGTGAGCAGCTAGAAACAATGTTCATTAAAACAACTAAAGCAGCCTCTGTACTGTCAAAGAGCTATGTGACACCTGGAAAAATAGCATTCTGAGCAGTTGGAGGGAGGTAAGGAAACATGTTAAAAAGAAGCCAGAAAAAATAAAAGCATTCTTCTATCTCCAAAGACACAGATTTTTTTCCCAATTTTGGGACTGAATCATAGCTGACTTTAAAAGTCCTTTAAATTAACAGGTTATAGTCAGAGAGCTGACACAGCCTTATCTAAAAGTGAGCAAGAACAGTCCCATTACAATGAGAAAACAAAACCATAAGCCTGTGAAGTCTGCATCCTGAGACAAAGAACTATTTAGGTCCTTGTATCACAGTGAACAGTGTGCCAGCATCGACCGAGTCAGCTTTGTCTCCCGGGGCAGAACAAACAACGGAGGAATTGGTGGAACTGTTGGTGGCCAGGACGTTTACTAACAAGCAGGAAAGTCTGGCAGCAGAGACAAGAGTAATGAAAACACATGGAGAAGCAGGAATGGGGCATGAAGAGCCAAAGGAAGGCTTCCCAGGTTTGGCAGCTTCTGAGCCCAGCCTCCTGGGGTTCAGACATTCTCCACCCTACAGGTTAGGAGTTACACTTCAGAGCCACCTGGCACAGGCTTCTTCCCCTTTTGCCCAAGAATCCTCATTGTCCTTGAAATGCAGAGGTGAGAAGCAGGCTCTTTCTTAGGCAGTAGACTGTATTGTATGTAGCACCTTAGGGTGCTGAATTATGGTATGAGGTCTTGGTCATCAGAGACACACTGATGATGGGGGAGAATGGAACTATGCCTTTCCTGGAGAGCAGACAGGGGTGAAAGGGTTGGTCTCACAAATGGAACTATGCCTTGCCTGGAGAGCAGACGGGGGTGAAAGGGTTGGTCTCACAAATGCGCACAAGGGTATGCGGCATTTCTACTCCGTCCATCACGCTAAAGCTGGTCATGTGACTGGAGCCAGCAGGGCAGCCCTGGATCAACATATTCTGCTCACATTGGCCTACCTATCACCATAGTAGTCCCTTAAGGATTCGTTTAATAGTCACCCGGACTCAGAAACACAGCTCAGACCTTTACTAATGCACTCCTCCCAGTGGGCTGGTAATGAGATGCATTCCAGGGTCAAGAGAGCAAGATGTTTTCACAAGAATTCGTAAAGCTCCAACGTTGCTGACAGCAAGCCCTGCACCATTAATTCTATGTGCTAGACATAAGTTGAAATAAAATACCCATGTACTTTTCAAAAATGTGACCTTGAGAAAATTCCTTGAACTCTCTGGCCACAGTGTACTTTCCTGGGAAAGATACTAAGTATATATCATGTAGCACATACTTACTGAATAGTTAGAAATACTCTCCTATATAAACCGCTGGGCACAACTCCTGGCGCCTGTTCCCAGCCAATAGCAGCTGCTGCTGACAGGAGAAGCCCAGGGCTGCCCCCCACTGACTGGATGGTAGAGCCTGGCAAACTCCCTTCTCCAAAGCTATTTCCCTGTTCTAAAGGTGGCCGTTAGAAATACGTCATTTTGAGTTGTCAAATAATGTCTACAGGAAATTATAGAAGGAAACATAAAATAATAATGAAAGGCATGAAATAATGAAATACCAAAACACATGAGAAACCTAACAGCCAGTTGGCCTTTTACAAAATAGTTCTCAGAGTGGGTTACCGCCTCCTAATGGGTTACAATAAGTAGAAGGTTCAGATTAAAGACTATTGGGAGAGGGTCAGATTTGCAGTGTTTACACGGGTTTGGACTGGCACCAGAGTGCGCCTTTATTCTCTGCACTCTCCAGGCAGCTGAACTGATGGCCCTAGATATGCATAGCAAGTGAGGAAGGGGCATGTACATGGGTTTTTTCTGCCACCTAGTGGTCAATCTTAAGAAGTCAACCATCTCTCTTTAAGGAAAGCTGTCCCAGTTTTCTGAGTGCCTCTTTCTCTCCCAGGGTAAACTTCAGTTCACACACTGCAAGAGGTCGCCCTAAAATCAGGGTCTACCACACTCAGAAAACAGGCAGATCCTTGCAGGGTGGACTGTGAGCTTGTAATTTACAGTCTGCCTTCCCAGAAGGTCCCGAGGGATGTGTTCAAAGGAAAATCTAGGGATGTGATCTCAGTTCTTACCCGTTGTGTGTAATGCCCTGAATGGACGTCTACACCACACTCCCTATACACAGAGCTCTAAGGACAGTGTGGAAATGGGGAGCCGGGAGGACACGGTGAAGCAGAGTCTTCTGAACAAGACAGATCACTGCCTCTTGACCTCAGGGCAACTGTCTTTACCTGAACCGGATCAAGCCAGTCAACATTCCAATGGGCTTCAAGGCAGTGCTCAAGGGGCCCCACTCCTAGCTGAGAAGCAAATGGCATCTGATGACTGAGGCAAGGACGGGACAGTTTGCTTAGTGGAGCGCACGCTCCAGGGGATGGTCCCACACCCACGTGTGTGGACAGCAGAGGATGGTCCCACACCCACGTGTGTGGACAGCAGGGGATAGTCCCACACCGACGTGTGTGGACAGCAATAATTGCATTCGTATTTTTTTAAGGGGATGAAGTTAAGAGGTGTATGAGGAGGGCCAAACTGAGAGGATTTGGTAGGGAGAGCGAGGGAGAACATGTTTGAAATACTTTCTATGCATGAATGAAATTCTCAAGGAATATATTAAACATACATTTTCAAAGAAATGGGTCATAAGTTTATGCTGGAGAGGATGTGGAGAGAGGGGGACACTCCTCCATTGCTGGTGGGAGTGCCAACTCGTACAGCCACTTTGGAAATCAATATGGAGATTCCTCAGGAAAGTGGGAATCAGTCTATCACAAGACCCACTCTTAGGCATATACCCAAAAGATGCACATTCATACAACAAGGATGTCTGTTCCACTATGTTCATAGCAGCATTATTTGTAATAGCCAGATCCTGGAAGCAACCTAGATGCCCCTCAACTGAAGAGTGGATACAAAAAATGTGGTACATTTACACAATGGAGTACTACTCAGCGGAAAAAAAAAACAATGGAATCTTGAAATTTGCAGGCAAATGGATGGCACTAGAAGAAACCATCGTGAGTGAGGTAACCCAGTCACAAAAAGACAAGCATGGTATGTATGCACTCATATATGGATTTTAGACATGGATCAGGGGAGTGCCAGCCTACAGTCCCACTGCCAAACCTTCATCCAGTGACTGATGTAAGCAGAGGCAGAAACCCACAGCTAAACACTGAACTGAACTTCTGGAACCCAGTGACAGAGAGGGAGGAGTGATGAGCAAAGGGGTCAAGACCTTGCTGGTGAAATCCAGTGAAACAGCTGACCTGACAAGGGGGAGATCTTGGACCCCAGCGTTATGACCAAGAGGCCAGCATAGGACTGGTTCAGACCCCCTGAATGTGGTGTCAGTGAGGAGGCCTAGGTAATCTCTGGGGCCTTGGATAGTAGATCAGTATTTACCATGGTGTGTGAATGAACTTTAGGAGCCCATTTCACATGGAGGGATGCTCTCAGCCTGGACACATGGGGGAGGGCCTAGGTCTTGCCCTGGATGAAATGACAGACTTTGGAGATCCCCCGCGGAGTGTCTCACCCTCCCTAGGGAATGGTGTGGAGATTGGGTGGGGGGCTGAGGGGCTAGTGGAAGGGCAAGGGAGGAGGGGAGAGAGAGGGAGCTGGGACTGACATGTGAAACAAGCTTGTTTCTAATTTAAATTAAAAAATTATTTTTAAAAAGAAGTGGGTCATGGATAATTAAACAAAAAGAAAAATCCCTTGTCAGTTGGAAGGCAGTGGGTATGAGAAGGAGAGGGAAGTTGTCCAGCGAATGTGAAGTTGCAATGTTAAAGGAAGAAAGAATGGGAGCTGGGATCTGCGGCGGGTGCAGTGGGGATCTGTGGCTGGTGCGGGGGGGGGGGGGGATCTGTGGCTGGTGCAGGGGGATCTGTGGCTGGTGCAGGGGGATCTGTGGCTGGTGCAGTGGGGATCTGTGGCTGGTGCAGTGGGGATCTGTGGCTGGTGCGGGGGGATCTGTGGCTGGTGCAGGGGGATCTGTGGCTGGTGCGGGGGGGGGGGATCTGCGGCTGGTGCAGGGGGGACTGTCTGGGAGTGGTCAGCAGTGATGGGGCACACTGATAAGCACAGCAAAGCGACTGTGGCTAGTAATACAGATCACACCTGAAATCCCAGTGCTTGGGTGATTGCAGCAGGATCGGTAGAGTGGGGTCATCCTCCTCTACCATACAAGGCCATCTTGAGCTAGCTTAACCCTATCAAAATTCAAATATTTCAAAATTGCTGAGATTTCTTGTGTTCTCAGTATAAAGAAAATGCAAATACTGCAGGTAAGGGGCATGCAAATTACTCTCATCCAATAGATACACAGTGTATGCGTATAAGTATCCTTTGGAGGCTGGCGCAGTGACTTCACTGTTGAGTGTTTGCTGTGCAATCCTTGACCTTATTACCATGGGTGGATGTCTTTAGCTTTATCCAGCAGGGGGCAGCAGTGTATAAGTTTCTCCCTCACAGTCTTCAGCAAGCCATTCTGTAAGCTTATGTTGTCCTCCACCTGAATCTTTGATGAATGGTCTTGCTCCGTGTAAACTTAATGACTTCTAGATTTCCTGTCAGAGCAAATGACTCACAGGAAAGTATTGTTTGCATAGAGAAAGATTTCCAATGACAGCATTAAAGGCAGAGTATCCAGGGGACCTCTGATTTCCTATAGCCTTAGAAAGGAAGAATGTGCAGATCTCCAGTTTTTTCTGCATATGTGCGTGGTTGCAATTTGGCACAATGAATGTCAAGAGAAGCCAGATCTGACAACTTCTTTATCCTTTGTACCTGTGAGCGTATGAAAAGAAGATGAACACAATTAATGTTGCAGATGGGACTAAGCTTGCTACCATCTAAACTAACAATAGATTATCCTGAAA